ACCTCCTCTGCTACAACTTTGGCCATTTCAGGCTCTGTTTGTTGCCTGGAGAAGAGGCCAAACCCCTCCTCACCACAGCCTCCCTTCAGGAAGCTGTAGGGTGCCATGAGGTCTCCCCTGAGCCTCCTCTTCTCCAGACTAAACAATCCCAGCTCCCTCAGCTGCTCCTCATAGGACTTGTGCTCCAGACCCCTCACCAGTTTCGTTGCCCTTCTCTGAACACGTTTCAGTCCCTCAATGTCTTTTTTGTAGTGAGGGGCCCAAAACTGAACACAGCACTCGAGGTGCAGCCTCACCAGCGCTGAGCACAGGGGGATGATGACCTCCCTGCTCCTGCTGGCCACACTATTTCTAATGCAAGCCAGGATGCCGTTGGCCCTCTTGGCCACCTGGGCACACTGCTGGCTTATGTTCAGCGTCAACCAACACCCCCAGGTCCCTTTCCTCTTCACAGTCATCCAGCCAATCAGCCCCAAGCCTGTAATGCTGCAAGGGGTGGTTGTGGCCAAAGTACAGGACCCAGCACTTGGCCTTGTTGAATCCCATCCCATTCACCCCAGCCCAGCGATCCAGCTTATCTAAGTCCCTCTGAAGGGCCTCCCTACCCTCAGGCAGATCCACACCACCTCCCAACTTGGTGTCGTACGCAAACTGAGGATGCACTCAGTGCCCTCATGTAGGTCATCAATAAAGATATTAAACAAGATGGGCTCCAGTACGGACCCCTGGGGGACACCACTCGTAACGGGTCACCAGCTGGACTTCACTCCATTAACCACCACCCATTGGGCACAGCCCTACAGCCAATTCCTTACTCAAAGAAGAGCATATCTGTCCAGGCCACAGGCAGCCAGTTTCCCTAGGAGAATACTGGGAGAGACCATGTCAAAGGCTTTGCTGAAGTGTAGGTAGACTACATCAACAGCCTTTCCCTTGTCTACCAGTCTGGTCACCCAGTCGTAGAAGGAAGGTTGGTGCTGCAGGGCTGCCTTTCGCCCCCTGCCCAGCCACAGCTCTCACAGAATCACAGAACAGCCAGGGTTGGAAGGGACCTCGAGGATCATGAAGCTCCAACCCCCTGCCACACATAGGGCCACCAACCTCCACATTTCATAGCAGCCCAGGCTGCCCAGGGCTCCATCCAACCTGGCCTTGAACACCTCCAGGGATGGACGGGGCATCCACAGCCTCTCTGTTCCAGCACCTCACCACTCTCATAGCAAAGAACTTAACTCTCTTTCTGCCCCAGAGCCCCACCAGCAGCGGGCGCAGTGGAACGCGGAGAGAAAAGCAGGGTTGCTGGCCGCCAGCCTGCTGCTGCCCTCCGTGCCCGTGGTTGTGCTGCTGCTGCTGCTGCGCCGGGAGCTGCGGAAACGTCGGATCGGGAGCGGAGAGCGGTGAGTGCGGGGCGTTGCGGGGCGATGCGGTGCGGGGCTGAGCCGCTCCGTGCGCTCACATCTCCGTTCATCGCAGCATCGCCGAGGAGCGCAGCGAGGACGCGGAGGAGGAGCAGGAGGAGAAGGAGGAGGAGGAAGAGGATGAAGATGAAGCGGAGAGGAACGCGGCGGGGCGCAGCGGGAGCGAATAAAGCGTTGGGAGCACCGCGCGGCCGTGTCTCTGTCCTGGGGATGCGGGGAAGGGGGGGGGGGACACGGAGGGGCCGTTACGGTGGGGCCGTTATCGGAGGTATCGCACTATGGGGCTGCTCCTGGTGATGCTCCTGGCGATGCTGGCCGTTCTGCGTGAGTCCGGTCCTTTGCGGGGCTGTGCGGTTGGGGGTCCCGGTTCGGAGTTCCTCCGCCGGGTGATCGGTGGGCAGAGGAATGAGGATTCGGGGCTTCGTAAGGAAGAGTCCTTGGGAGGACCCCTGTGCCGGTTGGGTTCACTCTCAGCAAACGCTGAGCTGCTCGAAGATCCCTTCTGCTGCCGGCACAGCGAACACGAGTTGTGCTGCTGTGCCCGATGTGCGAAGTTCGGTTCGGGCACAGCAGCACCGCGGCGTGGGGCAGAGCTGAGCTCCTCCTGAAGCAAATGTTTGTGTGCAATAAATAGTGAGCGTGGCTCCATGAGCCCTGCTGTGTTCTGGAGAAGGTGAGCTGAGCCGGAGCCTCCCCTCGTGCTCCCATTGCTCAAAGTTCATATTGCCGGGCTCGGGTCCAGCAGTGTTACGTGGACTTTGGTTTAACCTTCACAAAAGGTGCCGCACGGCTGCATGGCTGCGAGGTGAATTTCTGCAGGCACAGCCCATGGAAAGCTGCCTTCCATGCTGTGCAGCTCACAGATGCCCACAGGAGGTGCTGTTCATCCGCGGTGATCACTAAATCCGGTTTGTTTCTTTAGATTCACAAGTGCCTCTGCACATCACCGTTCCCCAGAGGGTGCTCTCAAACACAACTGGAGAGATGGTACTGATCAAATTATTCTGTGTGTGTGTGTGTGAGAGTGTGCATTCCTACCAATGCAGGAGTGCAGCTCTGGGAAGCGATGCTGAGCTGTCCCAGTGTGGGTGATGGAGTTGGCAGCCTCTTCTGTAGCTGCTCTCTGTGTTTTGTTTCTCCTTTCCTAATTCTCACTTTCTCTGCCCATGCAAGGACACGCAGTCCTACATCCTCTCAGTGGAAGGGCGGCCGTACACCATTCACCTCAAGCAGCAGTGAGTTCATTCCACCCTGTTCTTAAGTTCTTTATTATGAGAGAGTGGTGAGGTGCTGGAACAGCTGCCCAGAGAGGCTGTGGATGCCCCGTCCATCCCTGGAGGTGTTCAAGGCCAGGTTGGATGGGGCCCTGGGCAGCCTGGGCTGCTATGAAATGTGGAGGTTGGCGGCCCTGCGTGTGGCAGGGGGATGGAGCTTCATGATCCTTGAGGTCCCTTTCAACCCTGGCCATTCTGTGATTCTGTTTTGGCAATTCCAACCTGCTGCCACCATCTCATGGCTGCGCTGGGGGCTGGGGGTGCTCATGCCTGCAATTCCAATGGCGGTGGTTTGGGGTCTGCAGGGACTTTGGGCTCCATCCACATGCAGTTGGTTTGAGCTGGGGAAATTCCAGATAAACATTTCTTTGGGTGTTTTCAGAGTCTTTTGCTGTATTTCTGTTCCAGGTTCTTTTTACCTGCTGATTTCAGCATTTACACATACAATGAGACAGGATCGTTGCGCTCTGATTCACCCTATATCAAGGTAATCTCAGCTAGCTTCTCTCTGTTGGCAGTTTGCAGGGTGGCCTTCCTGCTCAGCGCTTTCAGACTTGTCTCTCCTTATTACAGGAGAGTGGAGTTTCCCTTCTTTCTCCACCTTTTGGCATCCTAAACCAGGCAGGAGGTGCTGGGGTGGAACATAAAAGCTGCCCATGCAGATATACAACCAGAGCCATCGTTGGGAAGGTTTGGGGTGTGCTGATGGTTCCCTTTGCTTTGCCATAGGGCGACTGTTACTACCATGGCTACATCGAGGGCATTCCTGGCTCAGCAGTGACCCTCAGCACGTGCATGGGGCTCAGGTATGGGGCACAGTGCTGCTATGCTCAGTGCTGCCCAGCACTGCCCACAGACTGATGCTGTGCCCTCCACAGGGGCCTTCTGCAGTTCCACAATGCCAGCTATGGGATTGAGCCACTGGGCTCCTCGCCCTCCTTCCAGCACGTGGTTTATCCTGTAGGCAGTGGGGCTGCAGCTGGGGCTCTGCTCCCACATGGCCACCTTGGGGGTGGCAGGGATGCTCTGGTGGCTGACAGCAGCTCTGACACGGCACAACCAGCTCTAAAAGTAAGTGCTGTCATTGGGACTGACCCAGCACTGGCATCTCTGGGTCTGTCAGAGCTCAGCACTCATTGCGTCTCAATTACACGGATAGATTAATTAACAACGATCAGCTTTTTTTCTCCTCCAGCTGCTGTCAAGGCACCGCAGAGAGGTGTTGCTCCACATCATTCTGGAAAGGAGTTTGGTAAGCTTGCTGCAGCCAACTCCAGGCTGTGGTTGTCCTCTGCATTCCTGCAGAGCTTTGCAGTGGTCCAGCGTCGCTCTGTGCCCACCCCACGGCCGTCAGCCCATCACAGCATGGCCGATAGCCACGATGCATCCCTGTTTTCCAGTACAGCCACCTGGGGGGCGACAAATACATCGTGACACGGAAGGTGATTCAGCTCATCAGCTTCCTGGACAGCGTGAGTTTCACCTGTGCTTTGTGCGCTGCAGTTCTGCTGGTTGGGTTTCAGCTCGGCGCTGCTCGGCTTTGTCTCATGTTTGCTTTCAACCGCTCTCTATCCGTGCTGTGCTGGAATTAATCCCACTCCCTAAAATCGCTTTGGTGCCGTATTGTCCTATAACGAAATGCTCCACTGAGGGGCGGTGGTGCTCCGTGCGCAGAACGGCTGCGGGCTCTTCCCTGCCCGACACGAAGATCATCTTTCTCGTTGTGCTTCCAGATGTTCAGCTCCCTGAATGTGACCGTGACGTTGTCCTCCATGGAGGTCTGGAGGTTCGGGAACAAATTTCAGACCACAGGGGCTGGAGAATTGGTGCTGCTGCGCTTTTTGGATTGGAGGAGGAAGGCTAGCCTGCGGCCCTACGAAGTGCCCTTCCTGCTGATGTAAGAAAGCCACTACCGAAGAGCAGTGAGCTGCTAAACCTTTGTGCTTTGGAACATTGGGCATTGCACAGAGCTGCTGTGTTCCAGGTACCGGGTCCAGGCTGACTTTCTGGGTGCGATCTCTCCAGGCACGCTGTGCCGCAGTGATGCATCCGGTGCTGTGGCCGTGGTATGGAGCTGTGATATGGGGGCATGGTGTGGGGCTGTGGTACAGAGCTGTGGTACGGGGCTGTGCTGAACAGGGGGATGTGGCCAGGCCATGCCACAGCCAACAGCACTGCTCTCCTGCAGCTGCAGCGTGCTGTGACTCTGGAATCGTTCTCCGTCCTCCTGGCGCAGCTGCTGGGGCGCAGCATGGGCATGGGATTTGATGATGGCCGGGGCTGCCGCTGCCCCACACAAACCTGTGTCATGGAGTCGGCAGCACTGTGAGTGCCCAGGGGTCCCTGTGTTACAGATACCCCCAGCAGAGGGCTGTGCTGCAGATGTGGTGGTGGTGCAGGGATACCTGCTTGAGAAGGATAAAGGCTTCACTACTAAAAAGCAATCCTTTCCTTTCCAAAAGCAAGATGTTCCTGAACGCTGCCCAGTGCCACAGCAGTGGCAGTGCCAGCACACAACCACTGAGGTCCACCCTTTCTTTCAGTCGCGTCGGTGGGGCAAAGACCTTCAGCAGCTGCAGCGCTGCAGACCTGGAGCAGTTCCTGTGGCAAAACCCAAACTGCCCCTTCCTCAGGGTCCTGCAAATGCACCCCAACTCCAAAGCCACCGTCTGCGGTAACGGCGTGGTGGAGCAAGATGAGCAGTGCGACTGTGGTAGTGATGTGGTGAGCGGGGTTGTGGGGGGTTGTGGGGCTGGGATCCCTGCCCTGCTCCCTGCGCTGCTCCCTGACAGCAGGAAAGGGCCAGCACTCATCCTGCAGCGAGGCAGTGGGGTGTGGGCAGCAAAAGTTCGTAGTGTGCTTGCAGGCGTGTGCCAAGGATGCATGCTGCACTACGCAGTGCAAGCTGAAACCCGGCTCGAAGTGTTCCTTGGGTCTGTGCTGTGAAAAATGTCAGGTGAGATGTGCGAGTCTCTGGATGGGAGCTCAGCCCCACACCTGCAGAATGGACGGGATGGGGGTGTGGTGCTCGCAGCGAGCAGTTGGTGTTCAATCCCAGTTCAAGGCTGCCAACACTCTGTGCCGTCCCCCTGCTGATGTTCAGTGCGATCTGCCCGAGTTCTGCAACGGCTCCTCTGCCTCCTGCCCCCCCGACGTCTATGTGCAGGATGGGCACAGCTGTGAGCACAGCACCGGCTACTGCTACCATGGGCACTGCCAGTCTGCTGAGCTGCAATGCCAGAGGCTCTATGGGAGAGGTAGTGGCACTTGGCGCAGTGCTTTTGGGGCCAGAAATCCCCCCCCAACACCTGGGAATGGGTCCCTCTAATCTAAAGAATTGATATATGCTAAATGCAGCGCATTTGTGTGACCCTCTGTTCTATTGCTTCTAAACTTCCAGGTGCAAAAAATGCCCCACTGGCGTGTTATGAAGAAATCAACAGTCATCAGGATAGGTTTGGGCACTGCGGTAATCGGCTGCTGGATGGGTACCAGCCCTGCTCCTGGCTGTAGGTGTAACCCAGCGTGTTTGGTTGGTGTTTCCCTTTACTTCCCAAGCAAAACGTGATGCAATGATCTCACGCTGCTGCGGTGTGGCTGTGTTCTGCACACTGACTTTTCTTCCTTTGCTGTGCTGATGAATTTCTTAGGAATCTGGGCTGTGGAAAGCTCATCTGCACGTACCCAAATCAAGTTCCCTTCACTAGATTAAAGGGTGCCATCATTTACGCTCAAGTGCAAGAACATCTGTGCGTGTCTTTTGATGTAATGCATGCACCCAATGAGGCAGATCCTTTCCTGGTTAAGGATGGTACAAAATGTGGTCCTGGAAAGGTAAGAAATGTTTTACAAGCGTGGAAATGATGTACCATTATCACAGGGTGTAACAGCCTTAGAAATAGCTGCTATTTTGCAGTATAATTTGAAGGTGGTCTCTGCTTATTGCCTGTGCCATTGGCTTACTGATCGTCCCTTAGACCAAGGGATCTTTTATAGAGCAATGGCCAGCTTGATGAAGGGAGATAGAAAAGTGCCCAGCAGGGTTTTTTTCCTATTGTAATCGCAGGTGTGTATGAATGGCACGTGTCACCCACACTCCATTCTCAACTATGACTGCAATGCAGAGAAAAAATGCCATGGGCACGGGGTAAGTGACAGCAGTGCTGCTGGGGAGGTGATGCTGTGCTGCTTGGTGTTGAAGAGGAGCGAGAGGTTATTTCCAGGTGTTTGGGACTTGGCCAAACCTGGGGGTCCTCATCCTCCAGAATCATCATGCAGCAGTGTGGGAGAAATTAAGTGAGACTTTAATTAAGATCAAAATTAAATGGGATGAAGGAACATGGAGTATTTGCTCGTCTAGATTAGCGGAAAACTGGAAACGGAGTGTTTTCTTTCCACTCTGGCATTTGCAGGTGTGCAATAACAAGAAAAACTGCCACTGCCACCCAGGCTGGAACCCACCCCACTGCAAGATGCGGGGATCTGCACTGGGTGGCAGCACTGACAGCGGGCAGCGGCTGCGGGAAATGGAGAGTGAGTGCCCATAGAGGAGCCCCAAGCAGCCCCGGGGCTCTCAGCATCACCTGGGCTGCTGCGTGGTTCTGTCCCCAGGCCATGCCCCAAAGGTCTCTCAGAAGGATAGGCTGAAAAACGCGCTCCTGCTGAGCTTCTGCCTCCTCATCCCCATCCTCATCTGCATCATCATCCTGATCATGAAGTGGAGCCAGCTGATGCGGCGCTGTGCTAGGAGAGAGATGGAAGCTGCTGAGTGAGTTAAATTTGGGTGGTTCCTGCAGTGGGTGAGAGGTGAGCAGGGATCGGTGGGAGCTCCTGGAAAGCTGCTGAGATCCAGAGGACGTATTCCATGACATCCAGCTGGCTGTCTGCATAAAAGGCCTGGGAGAAATTGCTGGTTCCAAGGGAAAGGAAACTGTAGAAGGGGAAAAGTTAGATGCAGGAAGAGCTACAAGTGTCACAACTGGAAAGCAACACATCTGTCCCGCTGTGGAGGAGAAGAGTGAGAGAGACAACGTGAGAGAGCAGGGCCAGGACAGGGCAGGCATCTTTGATGCCCCTCGGGGCGTCACCATGTGCACTGTGACGGTGTCCCCAACCCAAAATAACGGGGCACAGATTTGGGGATGCACACATTTTGGGAATGGAGATGTGATGGGCTGGAGGGGAGTGAGAGCAGGGACTGGACTGTGCTGAGACCTCCACGCTGAGCCCCCATTTATCCCTGCAGCTCCGCCGAGGAAGAAACCAGCAGCATCGGGAGCAACGAGAGCAGCGTGAGCAGCCGGAGCAGCCGTGTGAGGATGGAGCCGGAGCCGGAGCGTCGCTCGGGGCTGTGCGCGGGGGAACCACGCGAGCAATAAAGACGTTGAAGCAACCGGCGGTCGTTGGGGCGATGAGGGCGGCTCTGGGGCTGGCGGTTCTGCTGGCGGTGCTGTTGGGAGGAGCGGCCCAGAGGCGGCCCCGCATCCGAACCTTCAGCATCCCCATCGCTGGCCGTTCCCGCACCGTGCGGCTGCGGCAGCAGTAAGCGGGGGTGGCGGCAGCGAACGGGGGCGGCCCCGGCGGGGAGCGGAGCGGAGCGGCACCGCGGAGGGTCCGTCTGTTCTGTGCGCAGAGTGTTTTTGCCCGAGGAGGTCCGGATTTACACCGACGGCCGCGGCGGAGGCGCGCAGTCCGAACTCGCGCATCTGGAGGTAACGGTGCGGCCGTGCGCTGCGCCCGACGGCTTTGGGTAGGGCTGGAGGGGACACCCGGAGCAGCAGCGGTGCAGTTTCCCTTCTGCACAGACGCTCTTTGGGCCTCTTGCTTTCTTTGGGATGCTGTTCCACCCCGCAACCTCAGTTAGCGGTGCGCTGAGGCCGGGAGGGGCGGACACCAAATGCCGTCGGTTCGGTGCTCGTTCCTCGGAACCTGCAGGGATGGGACGGGACCACACGCGGTAGTGCTCAGCTCTGCTGCCCGGCGCTGTCTGTGCTCCCTGCTGCTCCCCACACAGCGGGCACCGCGCTGATGGTGCGGCTTCACTGCTTCCAGCGCGACTGCTTCTATGAGGGCTACGTGGAGGGTTTCCCAGGGTCACTCGTGGCACTCAGCACCTGCTCCGGGCTCAGGTAAGCTGTCCGCCCTGCTGTGACAGCAGGAGCACAAACACGGGGATCGACAGTGCAGCAGCAGAGCCATTCCTGCCCTGCACCTTCACCCTGCAGTGGGATCCTGCAGCTCGCCAACACCAGCTATGGGATCAAGCCTCTGGAGGCTGCATCTGGGTACCAGCACCTCGTTTATCAGATGGAGGGGGAGAACGTGGGCACGAAGCTGCTGGGAGGAAGCAGCTCCCTTGCCTGGGCTGCAGAGGTGTCCTTACAGCCATGGGATGGAGAGGTGAGCACAGCTCAGGGCAGTTTGCTTCGGTGAAGTGGTGCCATAGATCTGGGAGATCTCCAGCTCTGCAGCTGGGTGTTTTTCCTGCATTTGTTCAGTACCTCAAATGTTAATGACTCCCTGTTCATATGTGTATGGGGATTTTTGTTGCTGTTTAATTTGTTTTGCTCGTCTTAAGGTGAAGGAAGCTGTTCCTAGGTCCCCTCGGTATCTGGAGATGCGTGTCATTCTGGACAAAGCTCTGGTGAGTTTGCATCTTCTCCATCTTAAATTATTTTCCCTAGGAAAAACCTTCACAGAACATCAGGGGAAATGTGCACAGGGCTTGGCTGACCCCATGAGGTGGGAAGCAGCTCCCTTGGGTATGGAAAATGACATGGAATAGCAGGGGCTGCAATGGGAGAGCTGCCCAGTGTAGGGGCAATGCATGGTGGCAGCTCTGCGGGCAGACCCTGCACGGGGTGCTCCTGTGCTCTGCAATCTGTTACCTTTCAGTATGACTACATGGGAGCAGACAAATACGTGGTGACAACGAAGATCGTGCAGCTTTTCAGCTACGTGAACAGCGTGAGTGCTTTCAGTTGGGTGGGAAAAGTGATGCAGTGGGATGGAAAAGGATGCTAAAATAGAGTGGGGAGCAAAGGTGCCCCAACCAGCCATGGTGTCTGCCTCTTTCCAGATGTTTGCTCGCCTCAACCTGACCATAGTGCTGACTTCCCTGGAGCTCTGGACAGAAAAGGACAAGATCCCAACCACAGGAGCTGCTGAAGAGTTACTGCAGAGATTTCTGCAGTGGAAAAACACACATCGTACCTCTCGGCTGCAGGACATAACATTCCTGTTTGTGTAAGGAGGGGATGGATGGCGTGGGAATGACAGGAATAGGAGTGTTGGTGTAGTGCAGAGCAGCACTATAGGGTTTGGTCTGTGCTGTCCTCAGCTACAGGGAGCAGTCCCATTCCATGGGAGCATCCTCTGCGAGGAAACTGTGCCTCAAGGACCGTGCTGGAGGAGTAGCTTTGGTATGGAGCCATGTGTCCATGTGGGTAGCCCTGTGCCTGGGTACAGCATTGGGCTGTGCCCACCCGGAGGGTGAGGGCTGCTGACAGCAGGGATTGCTCTGCTGGGTGCTGAGCTGTGGTGTGGGAGGGTTGGGGCTGGCAGTGCCCCAAAGCTGCAGTGCCCTCGCAGTACCTTCGTGCCACAATGCTGGAGGTGTTCTCAGTGACCGTGGCCCAGCTGCTTGGGCTCAGCCTGGGGATGAGCTACGAGGACCCCGGGAGCTGTGGCTGTGTGGGAGCCACCTGCATCATGCAGAGCAGTGCAGTGTAAGGTTCCTGTCCTCCTAATGTACCTTCTGCTGATGGGAAGGGCCGTGGAGCCCCGGCACACAGATCTCACCCTCTGCTTACAGTCACTCAGCTGGCACCAAAGCCTTCAGCAACTGCAGCATAAGAGACTTTGAGCTTTTTCTCACTTCTGGAGAAGGGCAGTGCCTCCTGAACAGGCCACTTGTGAACGTGTCCTACAAAGCTCCTGTGTGTGGCAACAAAGTGGTGGAGCCGGGAGAGGCTTGTGATTGCGGGTCGGCAGAGGTGGGTGGTGAGCCTTGGTGGGAGCTCAGGGCTGTGCCTGGGGAAGAGCCATGCCAGGAACCCCTGGAGCTGTTTGTATCCCTATGGGAGCTGCGTGAGCTCTCCTGACTGTCTGTGCTCATTGTTTCCAGGAGTGCCGGCGTGATCCGTGCTGCACTGTGGGCTGTAAGACAAGGAAAGGGGTGCAGTGCCTGTCGGGGCCGTGCTGCTCCAGGTGCAGGGTGAGCCGTGCTGCGGTGCTGTTGCATTGCTTGTTTGCAAGACCTGTGTGCAGAGCATCACAACAGGAGCCTGTGCTGCTGGCTGTGGGTGCGCACTGTGCAAAGCTCCTCTCGTTTTGCCTCTTTCCGCCAGTTTATGAAAAAAGGCACCCTGTGCAGAACTAGCTCTGAGGATGAATGCGAGCTGAAGGAGTATTGCAATGGCACCTCTGGGGCGTGCGCACCCAACCTGTGGGTCATGGATGGGCATCCCTGCAAGCAGAACACTGCCTTCTGCTACAGGGGGGTGTGCCAGACCGCCGACAAGCAGTGCCAGGAGATTTTTGGCAAAGGTGGGGCAGCATGCTGTTGGGGGAGCTGTTCTGCAGGGGGTATAAAGGGCCGAGAATCAAAACCACAAGGTGCAGCACGTGGCCCCAGTGATGATGCCCAGCTGCAAGGTGGGGTGAAGCTTTCTGGCAGTCTATAAGTGATGGTATGTGTTTGCAGATGCCAAAAACGGACCCTTGGCCTGCTATGAGGAAGTCAATGGCCAAAGGGACAGAATGGGGCACTGCGGCTCTGATCACAGTGGTTATCACAGCTGTGCCTGGAGGTGAGGGCTGTGGAAATGCCTCTCTCCTGTGGCTGCACTGAGCCCTCCCGTGTCAGAGAGCGACACGGAGAGGAGCAGAAGGGTGAGGGTGGTTTGCAAAGCCCTGTGCTCCTCGTGCCTGCAGTGATCTCCGCTGCGGGAAGCTCATCTGTGAGTACCTGGGCACTGTGCCCTTCACCAAGGAGAGGGCTGCCGTGGTTTACGTGCGGTTGCAGAACGTGCTGTGTGTCACACTGGACTACCTGCAGCCTCGCACAGAGAGGGACCCCATGTTGGTGAGGGATGGCAGCGTTTGTGACGACCATAAGGTGAGCAGTGGGGTGGCTTTTGCGAAAAGGAGGAGCTGTTGGAAGCATTTCTGCAGCAGTGGAGGGACCCAGGGGCAGTGGCTTTTCCATTGGTTGGAACCCAAACAAGTTGAGGTTGATAGTATGAATGGGGTGAAGCAGGAGGTGGGTGTTGGTGTCCATCGTGTGCTACTGACTCTGTGTTTGTGCTTTAGGTCTGCATGGAACAGAAGTGTGTGTCTGCTGCTGCCTTGAACTACAGTTGTGACATAAAGAGAAAATGCCACGATCACGGTGTAAGTGACAGTGCTGCATGTCCTCGGTTTTGGAACCACTGCACTCTCTGCAGCTTGCAGATGTGAGGATGTGTTCATGGTCAGCTGCTAGAAATCATTTCTCTTCCTCTGTCACGCAGGTGTGTGACAGCAAAGGGGATTGCCATTGTGATGTTGGCTGGAAGCCCCCGGATTGCCGGGAGAAAGCAGAGTCACAGGGAGGGAGCAGTGAGAGTGGTGGTGAGCAGGGAGGGCTGTGAGTGCAGGAGGGGCTGCTCCAAGGCTTTGCTGTTTCCCTTCTGGCTGCTGTGGGCTGAAGGAGTTGTCCCTTGCAGACCCCTGGAACAAGAGCTCGCTGAAGACATGGCAGCTTCTCGCCTTGTGTCTCAGTGCGCCCATCTTCGTTGGGCTCATCTTCGTGGTGATAAAGAAGCTGAGGCAGTGTCTGTCCAGAGAGCAGCCACAAGAAGAGAAGTGAGCCTGCTCCCCTCCATGGGGTGGCAGGAGGGGCAGAGCCCAGAGCTTGCCATCTGCACGGGGAGGGGAAGGCAGTGCTGTTTGGCACTTACAGGAACCCCCTTCTGTTCCCACTCTGTAGGTTTGAGGAAAGCACTGACGAAGAAAGGAGCACAGCAGATGCATAGCAGCATAGCTGGAAAGGCCTTTAAGGATACTGCTGAATTGAAGGGTGTTTGTGATGTGAATGGAGGCAGCAGCAGCAGCAGCAGCAGCATGGACCCCTGGGCAGGGGGCTGGAGTCTGTCAGAGGGACATTGAAAGGCTGTGTCCTTTGTATTGTGTCCTTGTGTGTGTTGTTCAATAAAAGGTGTTTCTGGTGCCTGAGGTCTGTGATCCCTGCAGGGCAGGGCAGGGTGCAGGTGCTCCCTTCATATATTACTTCTGCTCTCATCCCCCCCAGAGCTGTTGCCATGGGAAGAGCATGCCATCCACTAATGCACATTTAATCCATCATTACAGCCTGGTGCCTTGACAGTGGGAATTTAATGACAACCTCAGCTCGTGTTCAGCCATTAAGAAGTTAGCTGGAAACGCAGATTAATCCTCAACTGACATGAAATCTGACTCTGGGAGCTTTGCTCCCTGCTATGCAGCACTTACTTGCATGGCAGCAGCTTCAGTGCTGTTGCTTCCCTTAATTTACCTTGGCTGCACCGAGGCTGTTATGAGCACGTAAATCAGCAGCACTGTGCAAACCCAGGGCTGAGGACTCAGTTGGTGCACACACCACTCCCCCAAGGACAAAATCCCCAGTCCAGTAAGGAGGACACCATTGGGGTGCCATGCTGGAGCTTCTCCCCATGTCCTCACACTGGGGGCACAGCTCACAGCCCCAAACCCTCTGCAGGGGCTGGAGCTCAGCGCTTGCTTATCAGCAACCTTTACTCATGTTTGCTCAGCCCCTCCGACCGCAGGCACCCCTCCAGGACAAGGTTCGGGGCTGGCTCAGCACAAAGCAGGGCAGCACAGCGTGTCCCAGCTGGGATGGAGGCCGGGGACGGGAAGGAGGAGAGCCCACAGCCCATGGGACTGAGCAGCTTCCAGCTCTCCGAGGAGTATGGCTTCCTTCTGCCCAAACCTCTGGTAGGACACGGCCGTGCCCGCGGGTCTGCGTGCTAAAGAGAGTTGGGGCAGATGAAAGTAAAGGCAGATATTGGGGTTGGTGAGGGCTGTGCTGGTTGGGTCGCCACTTAGCAGCGTTTTACAGTAGTTTATGGAGCCAATGAGGAACGCATGAGAGATTTTGGCTTAGGCAGATTCATAGGACAAATTCCTCACTTTAAAAATGATTACGCTGGCTGCAGCAAACGGCACAGGGGAGAGGAGCAGGAGCTTTGCAATTCAGATAGTGGCTGTGGATTTACGAGGAGGGAATTTAGATGGCAAATCTCCTGTGCTACAAGCGGTGCCATTTGTCACCAGGCACAGCTTACAGCAGGAGCTCTCAGGGACAGGCAGACAGTTGTTTATCGGCCATTAGTTCACAATCACACGGGCTGCTATTACAAGTGGAGGAACCAGACACGAGCCATTAGCTGCAATCTGAGGGCTGGATGGGTGCTCCTGTCCCTTGCCACAGAACCTTTCCCCATGCAGTGGAGCATTGCCCTGTGCACACCTCGCACTGCCATTGTGCTCCCTTTCCCCGACCTGCAGCTGCTTTGCACTGCAAGCCCAAACAGGATGAAGCAGCTGTGTTCAGTGACCAAAGTCCTTGCCCAGTACTGTGCTTATTTCCCTCTGTGCCCTGAGCAGGATCAAGTTCCCAGCCTCAGAATGGACCTGTGTGTCTCACTAGTCACCAGCATGCGATGTGCTGATGCTCTCCCTCCTGCCATCTCCCCAGACAGAGCTGCCACCTCCCTACAGCCCTTGGATGGACATTGCCCATGAGCTGCCCCAGCTGATCGCCAGCCACCAGCTCCGTGCACGCATCCACCAGGTACACGTCACTGCATCTGGCTTTGGAGTGCTCTTAAACTTCAATCTGATGCAGCTGGGTCTGCAAAGGTCAATGCAATGATTGGGTCAGGTTAGCACCAGTCACTTTTGTGGCTGCAAAAGCAAAGCCTTAGTTTGACATAGAGCTAACTCATTGCACAGCTGCTGAGACACCTTGTGGTGCGGGGCAGTGAGATCCCAAGGGTTACCAGGGTTCAACACATGCAACCCAACCAGTTCCATCAACAGCAAACCCTGAAGGGGTGGGAGGGAAAGAACAGATATCCACAGGGAGAGCACATGGCTGGGGTGTGCAAGGTGATGTGCCAGGAGGGCACTGCTGGGCTGGGAGCACACAGGGCACATGTGCTGCCCATTGCTCATGAGGGTCTCTCTATCAGATGCCACAACTGAACACTCAACACCTCCAAGGACGAGAGGAGCTGCACCTGGCCCACCTGGTGCTCAGCTTCCTCACCATGGGCTACGTCTGGCAGGAGGGCGAGGAGGGCAGCATGAAGGTAACATCAGCCCCTGCATTGGGGGCCACAGCCATCCTGCAGGGGTGATGCCAGAGCTGATACAAAGCCCCACGTTGTGCTCTGTGCCCCCCCAGGTGCTGCCCCGCAACCTGGCCGTCCCCTTCTGGGAGGTGTCACAAGCTCTAGGGCTGCCCCCCATCCTCACCCATGCAGACTTCGTCCTGGCCAACTGGAGGAGGAAGGATCCCAGCGGGTAACCAGGCGAGCGCGGCTCCTGTCCAGCACAGAGCTCCCATCACAGCCAGAACCATTTGGAACCACCACAGCCTGGGGTTGACCCATGGCTGAGAGCCAGGGAAGGGTTTTGCCCCATGGTTACACGTGGGGGCAAGTGGCCAAAGGCTGGAACCTCCCACTGGCAAGCAAACCTGTTTGCATCCTATGCAGCACAGTCCACTGCTAGAATCGTTTATAACATCTCTCTATCTCTCTGCTTCTCCCCCTTTTCATGTGTATTTGCTGTCGATGCTCAAAATGCCTCCAGGCCTCTGGAAATTAAGTAAGTATTTAAGATGCTTATTTATTTTCTAACAGCATTTTGTTTGAATTGGCACAGTGCTCCCACACTGCAGGGCTCTGCTGGGTTAAACCTCTCTCTCCCAGTACACAACAGAAACAATTCAGTCCTTGGCACATAGACACCACTGCAACAGCAGCAATGCACCATGGCAGAACAACAGCTGCTCCAACCTCTGCAGAGCAGTGCTACCAGGGAAGGGTTTAGGATCCCTCAGAGGCAGAGCAGAGCATATCCCTGCTTACCTGTGCTTGAGGAATGGGACGTTTTACACCTGGAAGGTTTTTCCCCCAAGGACTGAGCTATGCTCTGGTCCAGCACTGGAACAGGCAGCTTCACACTGAGTCCTGTGCAGATCTTCCAAACCACTCGCCCATTTCTGGGATGCAGCAGTGCATTGGTGCTCAGTGCAAACTGCTGCAGCCCCTGAGCACACCACACATGTGGTGTGTCAGGGCTGGAGACAGGCAGGGACACAGGGGAACAGCTGCTGGCTGCCCTGCAGGAACCTGGAGCCCATCATATCACTGCCTGGGGGAGAGAGCCTGCGTGGATTCATCCTCGTCACGCTCCTGGTGGAGAAAGCAGCTGTGCCTGGCATCAAGGTAGGGTGCCACAAGCCCCACGGCCACCTGACCCAGTATTCAGGGTACATCTTAGCCCATCACTTCACGCTCTCCTTCTCTGCTCCTTGCAGGCCACCATTCAGGCCATTCACGCCCTCCAACACCTTGATGATGAGCGCCTGCACCGAGCCCTGCAGGGGTTGGCAGCAGCCATTGGAGACATGGACAAAGCCCTGCAGCGGATGCACGGTACTAGAAATGGATGCACAGTAAGAGCAGGGCTCATTGGATGCACGGTGTAAATGCACTGTGCCTCAGAGCACCTCACCAAGCCCTGCTCCAAGGGCAGAGCGAGGTCCCATCTGCTCAGGAAGCCCATGGGAAGCATTGCTGCAGGTGCCATCACCTGCATTTTCCCCACATTAACACATCTGGTCTAATTTCCACCTAGATTACGTGGATCCAGCAGTATTTTACACTGTGATCAGGATCTTCCTCTCCGGGTAAGTGGGGTGCACTTCCCTCCACCCACATCACCTGCTCAGAGCAGCAGAGAGCAGCACTGTGGATTTGCTGTCCCTCAGCTCCTCGCAGAGCTGCCAGCATCACAATCCACTCTGCTCTTGGCCTTCTCAGAAGGTTTCTATTTTTATTTCTGTTCAGCATTTCTCAGCATTCCGAAGTCAAAAGGCTCCATGCATCCTGATGATGTTTCTTTCTTTCCTTTTTTTAAAATCCAAGTTGACCTTGTCTTGATGGTCATCAGCCTGGAAAAACATGTCTTTGAATTCCCTTCTGCTTATAAGTACTTCCCACTAGTAAAGATTACTATAAATACATCCCTGGGAGAACTAAAAATATTAAGGTATTCGATAATGAATCTATTTTCTCTGCAATTTGAGCAAAATCTGCTCCTGCAGTCAAACAGCTCCAGCAGCCAACACCGAAAGCTCCATGAAATGGTGCATTCTTCAATAGGTCAGGAGATATTTTTGTGCCGGGCACATTATGGCTCTGCAATGATAACTTCTCTTTCCATTTGTAGGAGAGCATTTATCCATTTTTGCACAAGCAGGGTGACATGGTTGTGAGTTAATGGCGTGCAGAGGGGGAGGCAGCAGAGCAGCCCAGTTCCCAGCCTTGCTGGGGATGAGCATCTTTCATGAGAGGGAGGAAATCACATTCTGGGCTTGTTCTCTGCTGAAATAAAGGCAGTGGATGAGGATGCAGCCCCAGGGCTCATAACAATACACACCATTCTGGTTTTCTCCCTGCACCCTGACCTTGCAGTGCACCTTGACGTGCTGTTTATTCCCAAATTTATCTCGCATTTGAGGACAGCTCTCAGGGCGCAGTGATGCATGGCTGGGGGCAGGAAGGCAACACTTCATCTACCAACCCAGGGTCACTCCTGCAGCCCAGCACTGGTTGTGCTGACCTGTCCATGTCTGTGCTGACCTGTCCATGTCTGTGCAGCTGGAGGGACAACACAGCCATGCCCCACGGGCTGCTCTATGAAGGCGTCTCCGAGCAACCCATGGCATTCTCAGGAGGCAGCGCAGCACAGAGCTCCGTGCTCCACGCCTTCGATGAGCTCCTGGGGATTCAACACAGCCAGGAGAGCAGTAAGTCCAACACTTTTCCCTTTTCTCAGGCGCTGCACAGAACCAACCCACTGCATTGCCCGTTGTGCAGCTCCCATTGTGCCTACAGCATTTACAGCAGCCCACCTTGCCCTTCAAAACCCTTCCGTTGCCTCTGGCTGTCTCCAGTACATAATATGAGGAAGTCCATAAACCAGGCTCTGGCACACTTCCGTGCTGCTATAAATTCCCGGAGGAACAGACTTTGTTTTTTTGCACGTCAGCTCTTTGCTGAGGTTATATATGGGTACAGAGCTGAGGAGAGGAGCACGCCAGCACCCTGCCAGTAACTGAGCTCATCCATTCACATCGCTCTGCCCACAACAGAATGTGTTTATCAGAAATTAGCAAAGCCAACCTAATAGCAAATAATACAGAAATGCCGAGAGCAAAGGCTAAAACCTGCCTTTTAGGGTTAAAGCCAACGCTAATGAAGCACTGACCTAATAAGGGTTTGCTTCTCAATTAATTTAATGCACTCGGAAAGAGCTGAGGACAAGGGGATGCACAGGGATCTTGCTGTGAACTCAGTGCCAGGGGCAGAAGGGAAAAGCCAGCAGGAGGCTGGTTTGGGGGTTTTGGAATACCCCACAGACCCTGCAGCTGTGGGGCACAGCACAGCCTTTCAGTGAGGCTCAGCCCATGTGCTCCTGTGCTCAGGGATCCGAAAGGTGAAACCTTCTCCATAGGCATCCAGGAGAAGGAGGAGAGGGCAGTGCCAGCAAATGTCAGCTGGGAACTTCTTGGAGAACATTTGCATTGAACTGTGGACAGGGACCCATCCTTCTGCATCTCCTTTTTCCTTGGATTTACATCACACCAACTCCTAAAGGTTCTCCAGTGGTTTAACATTAACTTTTCTATTTTTTTTCCCCCCTAAGAGCATAGACAAGCCTTCCAAGGGCAAACAAGAAGGGGAAAAGCAATCTAATATTTCCACCTACAGAAACGCCTCTTCTCATTTCTCCCAATGTCTCTGCTGGTGTTTTGCAGCCACGTTCCTGCACAGGATGAGGGACTACATGCCCCCTCCCCACCGTGCCTTCATCAGGGACATCAGCCAGGCTCCCTCCCTGCGTCAGCACATCCTCAGCTCTGCAGACCTGCGGCTCCGCGAGGCGTTCAACCACTGCATCACAGCACTGGTGGACTTCAGGTCCCACCACATCGCCATCGTCACCAAATACATCGCTGTGGCCAAGGTCAGGGCAGGGCAGGAAGAGGCTGGTTCCATTGGCAAACCCCCAGCTGCACTGGAGGCCAAGGGGACCGGAGGGTCACACATCTTCATCTTCCTGAAGAGCGTCAGGGACAGCACCAGGGAAGGGCTGATCAGTGCCTGATGCCTGGCACGGTGCTTGCTGCACCTTCCTGCTTGTGCAGGTGGTCTCAGCTCACTCCTCCCCACTGCCAGCCCCTTGCCTTCCCTTCAGCATCTCTTCAGGATGTCATGATTCCACGCTGCTTTGAACACGAGCCTGTCTAAAGGAGGAGAGAGTGCTGCCATCCATCACCCCAAAGCACACAGGGAGCACCATCCCGAGGCACCAGCAGGATTGTGCCACCCGATGTCCTCTGTGACACTGGGACTCTGCTGCAGGAATAACACAGCCTAATAAAGCTGCAGCTCCTAGGAACGAAGCATGCTGCCGGGCTCATTACAGGGACGATTCTCAGGTGCTCATCTGCCCTAGAACTCCCCAGAAACCCAAACGTGCTCCCCCGGCTGAGAGCCCGCCTGCCATCACGAGGTGGCAGCAGAAAGCTGCTTTTCTCCCGGTGCTGTGCAGCTGCCTGGATGCGAGCTGCCAACAGCAACAGTGGTGGCCCAGGAGAGGTGGGGGGGTGTGGGGTGGGGAGAGAGCAGATAAAATAAAACATTAGTTTGCATTTCGGGAGTGCTGACTGCGCCAGCAGATTGCAGGACAGCGTTTCCCAACGTGACCCAAAGCCTCTGACACCCAGACTTGGCATCTTTTGGACCCTCCTGCCTGCATAGCAGCAGAGCACAGCATTGCAGTGCTGGGACAGGACACCATTCTGAACCCAGGGGGTCCCAGGAGCCACGGGTCACAGGCAGCTGCAGGTCACCAGGAGTGAGATATAGTGATTCTTGTGGCCCTTTTCAACCCAGGATACTCCATGGTTCCATAATGCCTGGGCTGGAAATAACAAGCTGCCCAGTCTACGAATAGGGCTCTGATTGCCTTGTATTTCATTATTACTTCTGTGTCAGACAGTTTTGCTTACTGCAATGCCTGCTTCCAGGTTGAGTAACAGGCAGAAATCCTAAACAGACGTTGCAGCCACAGCCGGACCACAATTACTCACAGGGTGTCTGCTGGCAGGCACTGACTGCCCTGTCACTGCAATGCTCCAATCATCCAGAGCCAGCTGGGATGGGGAGAACAGAACGGGCCCCCTGGGGCTGCACACAGAGCTGCAGCCCTGTATGCCTGCAGGGATTCCCAGCTACACCCTGTGCACCCTTTCCCCAACTCAGGCTGCAGGATGGGGACACACAGCCACATCAGTGCCAAGATGGCTGGGAAAGCTTTTTCCCACAATGTCTGCTGTTCAACTGGCCTGGCTTCACCGAGAGTACCCCCAGATTTCCCAGCATCTCAGGGGAAATCAGGCCATGCACATCCACGCTTTGTCTGCCTGGGTCTGCTGGCACAGCCACCAGAGACAGATTTCACACCCAATCAGTGTCTCAGTGCAAAAATAGCACTGGCAGTGCCACTTCTCCTGCACTATCAGAAGAAAGTCAAGGTCCTTTGAAATGAGGTTTCATTCCCATAAGGGTAACAAAAAGCTCAGCACACTGTAGCTTGAATTGTTAAAGCTCCTTGCTAAATTTTATTTGGTGCCCTCTTTTGAAAGGCAGTCTTAAAACTGGAGCTTAGGAGGAAATATCTTCAGTAAACAACCTATAGGAGCATGGCAGCACCTCTAAATCTTTATCTGGCAGCCCTCGTTCCACTCCATCTTCGTTCCTGAATAGCTGCTGCATATTTTATGTAGGAGATATTTCATACTGATGATTGTCTTGGGCTATTACACTTCAGACCATTTCAGGCAAACAGCAAACTAGAGCTGGGGAAAAGTCACTCTAAATGCAAAATGTAATGAGGGTTCTCACAGTGAAATGGGACAGGGGTGGGAGAGGGGACATGGGACTCCCCCCTGCATAGCCCTCAGCTCTGCCAGTACTACTTAAGGATGAGAACAGGTAGAGACAACTCACAGCTTTTCCAGGTGGACTCAGGAAGGGCTCACTGTACCTGTAATGCTATAACATGATGGAAAGTACAGCAGTAATAGCAGAGTGGCAAAGTCTTTGGCTGCAGTAGATGAGGACAAGCCCAGATGCAGCAGCCATAGGCGTGGAAATGAAGAAAAAAAGCTGCTTATCTTCAAAAGGCCACAGGTAGGCAAGGATCTCCAGTAAGAAACCCTCACTTCCACCTTTAAATGAGGGCTGGGAAGGGGAGGATCCTGGCTCCATCTTTTATGGTCACTTGGGTGCATTGCTTACACCTGAGCTCCCCTGGGTTGGCCTTGCCTTCCCACCAGGTGCTCCATCACTGCTTCAGGCCATGATTTAACCTTGCCACTCCAGTATCCACCTGCAGTTTATGGATTGCTGTGTGAGAGCAGCGCAGTGACAGCGCTGGCACTGATCAGACCTGCTCTGTACAGTGGGTGTGTGCAGATCCTGCAACGCTCAGCCCTTCCTGTCTGCTCTCCTGGCAGCTGGGACGACTGCTGTGCCAGAGCTTTGATTCCTCTCTGTTTCCAAACCGCTGCTGTCTACTACTGATCACAAGGCACAGACATCTGAGGTCTCAGGTGCATTACAAGGGGAAGCAGGCTGCATTTCAATAATTCAGTGGGCTCTCTGCCTAAAGATGTTGTGATGAGTTTGAAAACAGCACAGCGCTTCACGCTTGTTGTACAGGAGCACAGCAAATTTGGGTGAGTGGAGCACGGTGCACTGGCACAGGAGGTCGCTGTTTGTTGGGCTGCACTCAGCTTCATGCCTTCTCCTGCATCCCCTATGGCTGGGGTAATTCCTGCCATGCAAGCCCAGCACAGCAGCAGTGCCATAGAGCTCAGTCACAACCACTGCAGTGGCTGCAGACCCAAATTAGTGCTGCCCACACAGCAATCAGTACAAAGAGAGGTGCTGCACACAATTCTACTGTAAGACTGCAGCATGGGAGCCACCCAGCACCGTGGTTCAGCAAAACATGGTGCAGCACAGCATGGTGTGGCATAGGATGGCATAGCAGAACAGCACAGCATGGCACAGCACCACATGGTGCAGCACAGTATGGTGTGGCACAGCATGGCAAAGCACAGCATGGCATGGCACAGCACAGCATGGCACAGCTCAGCACAGCATGGCACAGCATAATATGGCACAGCTCAGCACAGCATGGCACAGCATAATATGGCACAGCAAAGTGCAGCAGCACAGCATGGCACAGCACAACTCCAGTTGTCTCCCAGCTTTCATAAAACCTGTGCAAAAGCCCCTGAGCTGTCTTCCCTTTAGAAGCCACAAGCAGCTCTGCTCCACAGCACCCACATCACATGGCACACAGAACCCAGGGTTGTGTCTCTGGCTACGGCTTTTGTCCCTGTGAACATTTGAAATCGAACAAAAATATAAACATTTGGATTCCAGACACTTCTCAGCCCTAACCTTATTTATCATACTTGGCTCTGCTCCTGGAGTCAGGGCCAGAAGAGGCTCTGAACATTTTGAGTTATTTAATATGCTGCACGTAGATCAATCTTGCTCTCCCCTCTAGCCACAGGTTTCCTTCGTGGTTTGCTGCACAGTTATTATGTCCATCAATATCTAAGTAATTAAAATCCACCATTATGCAGGTCCTGGCTGCCTTACGAGCTTCTCATAAGCTATAAAACATTTCATGGTCAACTTTCCTTAAGTGCCCAGGAGGTCTGTAGCACCATCACAGATTCCCTTGGCTGCTGCCATTATCCTGAAGGTCCCATGCACAACCACCCTGCTGGAAAAGCACCTCCTGCAACTGTCCTTGCACCACCCTGTGATTTGTGCCAGAGGAGAAAAACTGGGAGGCAAGTACTTGTCCTTCTGCGTGGCTCAACTGCTGGTCTCATAGGGATTTTATCAGTAACAACCAAGTTTGCTTTGCAGTTTCCACTTGGGAACAAGTGGAACAAGAGGACTGCCATAACCTCCTTGGCACCACTGCTCGCTCGAGACATGATGCTGTGCCTGGTGCATGCCCTGGGCACTGAGTCTACTCACAGCACCTGGCCTGGCTGGAGTGCAGAGGGCTTTATCACTGCCTGTGGGATTGCTCACCTTGGCAAGAGTGACTGCAGTCCAGATATGATGAAAGGACGTGACTCAAGCCAAAAAGCGCTAATTACAGCTCAGACGGAGGAGGAGACAGGAACTGCTACATTATGCCTAATAAAGGAGAGGAATAAGGAACAGATTGGAGAGCCATCACTGCAGAGATGATGAACAGGGGCTGTCCCAGTGGCACAGCAGTGCTGGGAATGCCCAGGGCGCAGCATCTCTCACGGATCTCTTCCACCATTTGTGCACCCTTGGAGTACCTGCCACACCATGCTCCTTGCTTTGGGTCCTTGCCAATGTCTTCCTGGCCCTGCCACCAAACCCCAAAGCAGCCACAGGCTGTTCCTGTGTTCCCATGGACTCAGTGCTGGGAACCAGAAGCACTGCAAAGCGAGCAGCCAGCTGGAGGCTGCCCGAAGGGCCCTGAGGGAAAGGGCTTGTTTTGAGCCCAAAGTCCCCAGGGTTGATGCAGCATCTATAAAGCTTTTTCACCATTAAAACCGTTCATAAATAGAAAGAACCAGCAACTAAAACATTAGCATTTGAATAAAAATAACTTTGCAAAGCAGCCAGAGCTAAAACCAGGTCTTGGCAAAGGTCTCCAGCCTCCTTCTAGGATTGAGAGTGCAGCAAACCGCATGCATCCCTGCAGAGCATAGGAACACCCCGGGTGTGCAGGGACAGGACAGTGTGCTCCCCAGGTTGGAAACACAGTGGATGCTGTCCCTTAATGGAGCCAGGAGCCACCTGTATCTTCACCATTGGCACTGAGCAGGGACGTGCTCAGATTGCAGCATTGCAATACCAGGGCTGTCTCCTTCTGTATTTACTCAGAGCCGTGCACAGCGGGTTCCTTCTTTATGATGAGGAGCCGGGGTAATTTGAATAGTAAATACTATGAAGAAAGTAGATTACTATGAAATACAGATTATTTTTTTTTTCCTGATAAATAAATCATGCCTGTATTTGCATGTATAATACCAAAAGGAGGCATCTGGGACCGCTGCTGCTAGTTGCAGTACTGCCTGACATGACAATTAGCAATAACCCGACGTCTCTCTCCTCCAGCTCCCCTGCTGCTCCATTTGGTTTCATGTTAGGGATAGTGGGGTGCTGCTGCTCGGGCAGAGCCCTCTTCCTGCATCTCCTCATGGAGCAAGCTCTGCTACAAGCAATGGCTGGGAATGGTGCAGCCCCAGCACTGCCCATGTCTGGCCATGCTATGCCAGCGCTGTATGGGCAATGCTGGGTGCAGTTTTCTGAGCACACGCAGTGCCTCTCCTGGGTTTATCACCTCAGCTTTCTGCCGATGCTCTGCACCTGACTGCAGTTTGTCGTGCAGTTCTGCTTGCTACGTTGGGATAAA